TCTAGAAGGGGGTCCTCAAAGGGTGGGGATATGGGTGCTATCCCTGGTCTACCTTCCTTACCCAGACTCAAACTCTGCTTACCCAACCTCTGCTTAGGGGTCCTGCTAAGCTTGTGATCAGCAATCCTGGAAAGCTCTGGAAGCTTCCCCGGAGTCTCAGGCTGCAGAGGTGTACGCATGCCAGGCCCCACCTGCCCTGCGCTCCAGCCTTGATGTGCAGGGCCCTGGAGGTTCAAATGCAAAACCTGCCCAGCCAAAAAAGCTTAAGCATCACAGCCTCTGCTTTATTGGTGGGAGCAAAAGCAAGCACCTGGAGTCGAGCCTGTCTCCAGATCAGCCCATCCTCGCTTCACCTGCCCATGCTACCAAACCATTTTTGCAGATTTATTTTTTTAATCTAATTGATGTACAGAGATGGAGAGACCTCCATCCACTTGTTCACTCTCCAAAGGACCACAAAGGCAAGAGTTGAGTCAAGCCAAAGCCAGGAGCCAGGATTTTCCTCCATTTCCCCATACTGGTACAGGTGCCCTAGGACTTGCACCATCTTCCACTGGTTTCCTAGGCCATTAGCAGGAAGCTGGGTGGGAAGCGAAGCTGCTAAGACTCAGACCAGTGCCCATGTGGGATGCCAGCACTGCAAGTAGAAGATTAGCTTGCTAAGTTACCACCCCATTCCCTAAAACACTCTTTTCAATGTGCCCTTTAAAGGGCAAATTTGGCTCAGTAGGAACTGGTACCGTAAGGTGCCAGCCTGGAAGTAACTGTCAGCCACTGCCCCCAAGGAAGCTGAGCAACCTGCCTCAGCATGCCCTCTTGGCTCCTTATGTCCAGGTCCCACCCTAGTCCTCTATCACTCGGATCTGTCCAGGTCCCAGCCCAACCTAAAGCCCGTGGGAAGGATGCCCAAGAGGCCCTGCCCAGCCCATCCAGGCCATGCTGACTTCCCGAGCCTCCAGCTGTTTGCAGGTGTTCACTAAAGCACCCCTTCCCCGCCATCACTGTGCTGTGTACCTGTGGTGATCCCAGAGTGCACAAAGCAGATGTTTGTAGAAGGTCACAGCTGTTTCTGATAATGAGTAAAATCATTACATGTCTAATAATGCTATTATTATTATGAATTATTATCATTATTATTATTATTTGCATTCCAGAAGCAATAAATGAGGATCCTCCCTCAGCAATCTCATAGGGGTACTTCCTGGTGTGGCTAAACAGGGGTGCTCGGCTGTAGGGGAGGGGGCACATGCCGGGCACAATTCCTTCCATTCTTCTATCAGGCATACAGCTGTCAAGATGTCTCTCTGAAACCCAACAAATGGATTCTAAATCCAGGGTCAAGGAGCAGAAGTTAGAGGGCAAGCACATTAGACCCCAGTCCCCAGCATGGGCTGTCACTTCATCGGGCCTTTTATTTCACTCCGTGTATAATTAAGAAGCGCGGACAGCACACAAGACATGGACTATCAACAAGGAACCAAGTGGGACGACAAGCACCTAGGTATGCAAGGATGCACAGCAGCCCCTAAATCGCCCTAACCTGAAGACACCCACGCACGATGCAGCACGGCTCAGCGACGGACGTGTACGTGGCAGCCAGAAGCGGCAGTGCAGAAGTTTCAGGTCTGCAGACCAGGCAGAAGAAGCTGGAGCTTCCTGGTCCCAGGCCTACCAGGACACAAAGAGGCGCAGATCCCAACCTGCACTGTTAGAAGTCAATAAGGCATATAGGAACTGAAAGCGGGTTTTGAATGGGCTGTGGCTCCCAGCCAGTCCCTTGTCCTGCCATCCGTCACAGCTGGAAGCTCTGCCCTGTCACTGGTGGCATCCCCGTGGCGGGTAGCCTGAACACAGCATTTGCAGTGAACATTACCCCCTTTGGGACCTCGCCTTCACTGTCTCCACCAGCTGCCTTCCAACTCTCCTGGGCCTTCGCTGGGTGGCCAGCAGCCCACACTGCCAGCACCTTAGGCAGACCCACAAAAACAGGAGTCTCGCCAACCCCCATTCCAGAAGTCCTGAAAACAGTTGGGGGTGAGTTTTTAAATTTTGCAGTTCCCAGCACCACCCTGTGGGATTGAGCCCCATGTGCTCAGCAACGAACTCCCAGCCACCATTCTGTCCACTCCTGTCTCATATTCATACTCGCCAGCAAGTGTGTCCCAGAACCACTTCCCCAGTAGCTGGAAGCCTGGCGCCTTGTCTCCCTCCGTTGTCTTTGGAGAGAGTCACAGATGGGATGACTTTGAGAGGACGGTTTGTTTGGCTCACAGTTCTGAGATTGGGAAGTTCAGCATCAGGAGCTGCGTCTGGAAGGTCGCTTTCTGTGAACCACCCCAGGGTTGTCAGGTCACCCCAGCCGGAGCCAGAGACAGCATCAGTTTTCAGCAATGACACAGCCTCGAAGTTCAGCCATAGACTCACCCATGTGTGAGAGTGGAGTACTTGCCATTCAACCACCTCTTGGAGATGGCAGCTGGCCCCACCTCTTACTACCTCACAATTGAGACTGAACTGCAATGTAAAAAGCTTTCAGTTGTGGATGTCTTTGGGGAGAAAGTAAGGGCCTAGGCCAAAACAAATGCAAAGAACTGAATTTTGGGGCCGGCACAGTGACATAGCAGACTAATCCTCTACAGAGCCAACCCAGCAACTATCAACAAATGGGTTCCACCACCTCTCTGGTGGAAGGGAAGGGGATGTTTGATGTTCGATCTGTGTGTAAGAAACTGCTAGTATAGTAAGCTAGGATGTGGTACCTGCCTCCTCGGGGCATCACCAGATGGTCCAAGTGCTGGTGCCCAGAGGGCCGTGCCTGGCAGCCAGTGCAGAGGTGAATGACTTGGATGGTGAGTCCGGGTGACCTCCATCCAAGTCACAGGGAGCTGGGCAGGTGCTAAGGATGTTGCTGCACCCACAGTCCTTCCTAGGAACCTCAGGGGTGCTGTTCATGCCCTGTGTGGACCAGAGCCTCTGCTCATTGATGGAGATGGGGAAGGGGTGGGAGGAGGGATCCAGGGGTGGGAGAGAGCATTCAGGGAGGGCTGTGCCTGGGTGGGAGGCATTCAGGTCTCAGCCCAGGCTCATAGCTTCATGTCTGCAACCCCACAATGATGATTTCTTGCCCCAGCTCCCCTGCCGCTGCCCAGGGTTGCTGGGGACCCGGAGCAGAGCCTATTGGGCTGAAAACAGTTGAAGTTTTCTTACAGGTGAATTCCCTTTCTCTACTGAATAAGGGGAACATGGGGGACTTTCAATGGCTTCCCGCCAAAGTTCACACTCTGGAAGCTTCTCGTTCTTTCTCCTATACTGCTCATGTGGTGCTGTCAAAGTCACACCAGACTCAAAATCCACATCTGTGTTCTCTTGGGTCTCCACAAGGGTTGGCCAGTATAGTGTTGTGAGCACTGAATTAAGGCACTTCATATAACAGGTTGGCTTTCTGGATCCTGTTGAGAGACTGGAGAAGCTCATGTGTCTGCCAGGCAATAGCTTGGAGAAGAGGGCAGGGGGCAGAGATGAGCTCTCCAGACAGACCAGAGCCCCACTCTCCACAGCTCATTTCTGATCCCCAGGCAGTGACCCGCAGCCACTTAGCACATCACCCAAGCGGTCACTTTGGCAAGTTGGGCCTGCCTTGCTGGGCTCCTTCTGGGACTTGTGTTCATAACTCCAGCCTCTCACAGTCCATGGCCTCGCTATTACCATACACTGAGATTTCTGCATCCGTTTTCTATGGCTGGGTAACAAAGTCATGACAAATTCAACAGCAACATCCCCATCTGTGCTAACACTGACTTTCCTATTAAAAATGTAAAATAATGTCTTATCTGGAAGTTTCTGCAGGTGGACCTTGCTGCAGCCTCCCAAGGCCTTGACTCGTAAGGCCAGATGGGGCTCTCCCAGAGGCAGGAGGGCGGGGAGAATCAATCACGGCCAGTAGCTCCTCGCAGTTGTAGGACTGGGTCCCTGTTCCCTGGCTGGCTGTAGCCAAGATCCTCTCAGAGCACACTGGAGGCCGTGGCTCAGCCTGCTGTGTCCAATGCTGACTTCTTTTAGGACAGTTTCTATTGTAGATACGTATGGGACATGGTGCGATAATTGATGCATATATACAACATTTTGTCCAGTCAGGTTTGTTAGCATTTGTATGTCCTTCAGCTTACATTTTTGGCTTGACCATAGTTGCACCTATCTTTTTTTTTTTAAAGATTTATTTATTTATTGGAAAGTCAGACATACAGAGAGGAGGAGAGACAGAGAGGAATATCTTCCGTCCAATGATTTACTCCCCAAGTGACCGCAATGGCTGGTGCTATGCCGATCCAAAGCCAGGAGCCAGGAACCTCTTCCGGGTATCCCACACAGGTGTAGGGTCCCAAGGCTTTGGGCCGTCCTCGACTGACCTCCCAGACCACAAGCAGGGAGCTGGATAGGAAGTGGAGCTGCCGGGATTAGAACCAGAGCCCATATGGGATCCCGGCGCGTCCAAGGCGAGGACTTGAGCCGCTAAGCCACGCTGCCGGACCCAGTTGTACCTATCTTATCTCCCCATCTTAATGTCAATTGATTAGTATCCTTAATTACATCTACGAAGTCCCTTCAGCTATGTATTGAATGTCAGGGACCCTCCCCTACCTGCCAGGTTTATGCTGGAGTTAACTCCCTGGACACAGTCACACACCAAGAGCATCCTTCCTCTGTGGCCTGGATTCAGCCACGGATCCGAGCAGTCCACCCTCCAGGTGCCCCGAGACACATGTGACCACGTGGAAGAGAGTCCAGAACAGTGATGCTGATCTCTGCCTTCCCTGCCCCCCAAAGCACCCGATTATCTTAAAAAAAAAAAAAAGTTTTTTTGAAAGTTAAAGGCACCTCAGCAACTCAACCATTGGAGCATTTAAATTCAACGATCATGACCACTCTTCTAAACCATGTCTTTCGCACTGGCCTGTTGCAGCATGGAACTAAGAAAAGAAAAAGCTGAAGATCTCGGGTGATGCATTCCAAATGCTTTACTGCTGCAGAACGCCCGCTGTAAGTGCATGCATCAGCAGGAAAAGTAATCAAGCTTGAATAGGAAGAATTTGAGTAAAAATATTGGATACTTTTGACTTTAATCTTCCATCGAAGCATGATTTTTCCAAAGGCATTATAACCGGAGAGGTCTGATCGTTTCTTTGGCGGTCCGTTTCATTTTGTTTCTCTTCTTTTTCTTTTTTTTTTTTTTTTCACATGCTTAAAATTTAGCCCAGTCTTTGAAAATTCTCTCCAGCTTCTGGCCAAGCAGAACTTTCCCGCTCACTTTGAACTTGCCCGCCAGGAAAGCCTTCTGTGGGTTCATCTTGCCCAGAGCTAACTCCATGAAGACCGGCTCGGGGATTGTGAAGGTGGCGTCAGCAGGGAGCCTCGCGGGCCCAGGATACACGTCCCCGGGCCCATTCTTCAGGTCAATGGTCCACTGCACAGCTATCTTCCCATCTCTGGTGATGTCCAGCTGGAAGACGGTGTTGACTTTCCTTACCAGTTGGGCCCCCATTTCCTTGACATAATGGCTGATGTCCTCTAATACCAGGCAGCTCTGGGACTCTGAGAGCCCCAGGGGATGTGCCATGGCAGGCTGCCGGGCCGAAGCCTTGCCCTGGGTTGCCTGAGAGCTAGCCCTGGCTTTGATTTTTGGTTGATGGTCAAGTCTCCTCCACATCTTATTGTGTTGGTCCTCTGGACCTTTGCCATCTGGTGTACAAGTGGCCATGACCAGGTTAATACCCACAGGTCAGATTGTGACATCAAAAGGCAGGGCCCAAGCAGGGACTGAGGTTAGCTTGTGTGCTATCCTCTTATTGGCTCAACAGAAAAGTGACATGGCAGACAGAGGTCACCTGGAAATGTACACGTACAGACGCATACGCATACACACACACCCCAAAATAACTAAGGCTATTACTTCCACAGACCCACAATGTCTGACCCCTATGGTGGGGGGTGGGTAAGGGAAAGGAGGCCCAGAACACCCCATGGAGGCAGAAGTTCCTGTCTTTCCATGGAGGAGCCTCCAAGGTAGCAGCCCTCACTCAGATGCAGAGTCCAGAGCTGGATTTGGCTGCTGCTGGGGAGGGGTGCTTTTAGGCTGAAGTAGCTACTGGAGAAGGACTCACACCAGAGACTGCATCAGAAATCTCTCAGAAGCATACATGCACAGAGAGAGAGAAATGTGGATAAGGTCACCTCAGATGACAGCTACATGTTTAAAAAAAAAATAGCCCTTCTGGCACCATGATGTACTAAACAAACTTCTGCCTACAGCACTGGGCAGCACTGGCATCCCATATGGGTGCCAGTCAAGTTCAGCTTCTCCACGTCCCATGCAGCTCCCTGCTAATGTGCCTGGGAAAGCAGAAAAGAATGGCCCAACTCCTTGGCTCCTGTACCTACCTGGGAGACCTGGAAGGAGCTCCTGGTTCCCGGCTTTCTATTGGCTCATCTCCAGCCACTGCAGCCATTTGAGAAGTAACCTGGTAGAAGGAAGACCTCTCTCTGCGCATCTCTCCTCCTCTCTGTAATTCTGCCTTTCAAATAAAAATCAAATGAATTTTTAGAAGAAAAGAAAATGAATCTTACTCTGGGCCCCAGTGCTGAGGTCTAAGCATTGTAACATGTTACAGCATTTGGTCCTCATTGCAAAATTCTGGGGTAGGTGTTATTTTTATTCCCACTTTACAATTGAGGAGACTGGGCGAAGGAGACATGTCCAAAGCTACACTGAACGCAGTGAGCACCAATTACAGTACAAACACACTAACCTTGTACCTAGCATGACCAGAGACAGAACCAGTTTGGAGTGGTATTTATTTATTATTCTGAAACTATTTCAGCTTTATAAAAAGTTTTCAAGAACTAACCCTATATGACCTATTCCCAGCCTCCCTGAAGGTTAGTTTCTGTATAACCACAGGCACTGATCTAATCTGAGCCATTCACATTGGTACGACCCCACTCGTGCTAAATGTTAACCATACTGAAATGTTTTCACCTGTTCCACTAATGCCCGTTTTCCGGTCCAGAACCCAGAGCCTTGTCCAGGACTCCACACACCATGTTTAAATGTATGTCTGACTTTTGTCTTTTGACTCTTTGGAAGCAGATAGGCCAATGAGCCCATACCATTTCCCTCATCCTGAAACCACGAGATGTTTTCTTTTTGCCAGGTGGCAGTTCTGAATGGGGCAGACCTCCCCCCGAGTTGCTCTCAAGCCCCTCCCAGTGTGTGCTCTTGCGCCACTGCATGTGGGTTGGTCCCACTCAGGCTCATGTTGCCCTTGATCGTTTGGTCAAGGCTGTGGCCACCAGGTTGTCCCACAGCGGAGCTGTTGTCCCACAACTTTTTTCCTTTGGAATGAGTAAATTGTCTGTGGAAAAATCAACCAAAAAACAGTGCCCCTTGGGGGCGTACACTCTCATGTCTTCCGGAGAAATGCTGTGGGACTCTGTGAGTGCCCTGTTTCATCCCACGCCTCCTCTGCATCCATGCCTGGAATCTGCACTGACCAAGTGGACGTTGTGTGTTCCCATCCCTCCCTTCTGATGTAATCACTAAAATTCATCTTGAAGGAAGATCTGCCTTTTCTCCTCTCTTTGTTCACTTATTTACCACAGAAATTCATTTACAAATATTGTTTTCCATAGGTTACAATGTATGTTAGTTCATTTTCTAGTTCAAGTTGTGCCATGTTGGCCATGGGGAGCTCCGGCAGCTTGGCTCCTGTCCCCCATCCCATGTGAGCCTGCTCCTCTATAAGCAGTAAGGGAACCCTAGGCAGTGGGGGTGCTGGTAACTTTGTCCTCTCTGAGAAGAACGAAGAAGGATGAAAATGCTCTCATATGCTTGCAATGATGGCTGGCACTGCCAACTTGGCGCACTGAAACAAAGCCCAATGGCTTCCAAACCTGCATCAGACTGACCCGATCCCTGCTACGATGGTATTGAGCAGGTGGGCATTCTCACTCTCTCCTTCTCTCTTTTTCTCCTCTCTCTCAAATAAAACAAATAAACATGTTTAAGTGCTTGTGGGCCAGCAGCAGTGGCAACCTTGGGGTTGGTTTCAAATAGTTCTTGGTTCCCTCTAAGACCCACTGAGTCTGCATTTCTGCAGGAGCCCCGTGACTCTCCTGTTCGTGGGGAGGAAGGACCTGCTGAACCATGACACAACAGGGTCTGTACCTCTCACACACACGTCTGCTACATCCTCTCTTGCTGGAAAATAAAAACAGGGGCCAGCATTATGGCCCACCAGGTAAAGCTTCTGCCTGTGATACCAGCATGCCTTACGGGCACCAGTTCGTGTCCCTGCTAATGACCTAAGTTGTGCTAATGCACAACTTAGCCCATCACTATCCCCAGCTCTTAAGCAAACCAGTGAAAATTGCAGTTCCATGAGGTGGGCCCATGTATGCCCACAGAATCTGTCCCAAGAATGGGTTCTTCCATATGCTGGTTAGTGTCATGGCCCAGCCTAACATGACCTGTCCCCTGTTCCAACACTCACTGATGGGTACTGTGGTGTAGCCCAACCCTAGCTTTTGTGTGCACCAGTGCGTAGTGCTCAGCAGTGGTCAATTCTGATTAGCCCAACTCAAGTTCCCTACCTGAGTTGGTGCATCAGTCTTACCCAGAAAGATCCTCCAGTGTCCCCCTTCCAGACCACTCAGTCTCAGCCTCCTCACTTACTTGCAAGTACAGTGGCCGTGCTGGTGGAAATCCCCCAGAAGTCATTCCTCACCTGCAACATACTCCTTCAGTGGGCTTCCCTCCCTCATATTCCCATACCCGCTTCTCTGGGCAATCCATAGTCCCTGTTCCTGGCAGTACATGATTCCCAGACCAATCTTCCCAAGCCCAGTCTTCTGGTGGGGTGGCATGCTGCCTAGAGCTCTGCCTGCCCACCAGAGACCCAAGATCATTAGATGGGTTCCCAGTCCCGGTCCCCTAGCACACAATGCAGATCTGGGACCTTACCTCTCCTCTAGCCGGGCACACAAGCGCATGTAGGAGACCCCACGCACAGCCCACAGATATAGCACACTAGCCTGGAACAAAAATACATGTATGATCTCGGGCCCGCTCCAACATCTCCCAGCACAAGCTCATGGAAGAGAGTGAAGCCAATGGCTCTGGCTCCACAAGGTGTAAAAAAAGCCACCAGGTGACTCGTGCTGTGAGAACGTACTTAATGTCACTGTACCACACACTTAGACATGGATAAACTGGTAATTTTTACATCTTGTATATTTCGCTACAATAAAAAAATACACAAGTAAAAAGCCAATGTCTACAGATCAGCTTACAGCCAAGTAGGAGAGAAAACATATATAATATAGCTAAGATATAAGATACCCTGTTTTAACTACCATGAGAAAGATACACAAGGGTACTTTCAATAGTTTACAGGGAGAAAATTGAATCCAAAGCACTGGTCTTAAATCTCCAAATTTCTTATTTATAGAGCCATTTCTGTTTCTTGCTTCTGCTGACCGGTAGGTTTTGGCAGCTTGTCACCTTGGACTGCCTGAGAAATGTGAGTTACTGCTTTCAAGGTCCTGCATAGACTACATCAACCTCCCATGAACATCTTCTTAAAATCTAAATAACTTGGGCTTTTGAACAAGTAGAACAAGGGCTGGTTTTAGGCCTAGTGGGTTAGGCTACTGCTGGCAGCATTAGCATTCCACAGGACCTTCAGTGTGCGTCTTGGCTGTATCAGCACCCACTGGAGCTCCAGTCTCATTCTGGCTACATCAGCACCCACAGGGGCACCTCTGCCTGGCACAGGCCAGAGGACTGCTAGATTCTTCTTTGTGTTTTTAAAACATGTCTTTCGTCCATATATTAATCTGTGATATTTTTGATGCATTTCAAAAACAAGGGCACGCACTGCCCTCTTGGCGAGTTTTGACAAACACGTTCACTTTCTGCTCCCCCAAGGTCTCCTTCTGCCCTGGGTAGGCCCCCATTATTCCCTCACCCCCTCAGTCTCAAGGCAAACACTGTTCTGATGCTCCTCCACGAGAGGTTAACTTTGCCTGTTCTTAAACATCAACAGAGCTCTACGTTAAACACAGTCATGTTAGCGGCTTTTACGTGTAGCGTATTTTGGAGATTTACTATTGTGACGGAGGGAAGTCTTCATCTTCAGGTGAATAATTAGCCAAAAAATCTTAGGGCTGCCTGTTAGAATCCGGAGCTTCTGTTATGCTACAACCACCACTTCTGATTAACAACCACAAATCAATGGCCCCCAAGACAGACCCCTCTCCCGCTTGCCTGACAAAACCTCAGTCCCCTGGCTCCCCCTCCTCACCCCTACCCCATCTTGTTCAGGCTGACGAATCCTTCAAAATGACAGGGATTGATGGGAATTGATGGGGATTTGTCTCATGGGAACAGTGCTTTTGAATTACTGAGTTCGCTAAGATGTAGGCGCTCTTTGGATTAACTACATCTGATTTTCCTTAAGGTGTTGTCAGCAGTATAGCGTTGGCCAACTTCACAGCCTTCTGAAAGTGCAATGGGGGCCAGTGGCAGTGACTGAAAGACTGGGCAACCTAGGGGTAGAGCAAGGGAGAAGACAAATGCAAATGGGCACGTTCCTCCAGCACTCAGCCTGCCCCCACTGCTTCCCTCCTTAGATAAGGCTGGAGGTATTGGTAAGGCCCGTTCTCTCTTTCTCTTTCCCTCCCTCCCTTATTTCCTTTCTTCTTTCCTTCCCTCTTTACTTCCTTTAAGATTTATTTTTATTTTAAAGGCAGATTTACAGAGAGAAAGCAAGACAAAGAAAGATGTTCCATTCACTGGTTCATTCCCAAATGATCATTATAGCCAGGGTGAAATCAGGAGCTTCTTCCAGATCTCTCATGCAGGTGCAGGGTCCCAAGGCTTTGGGCCATCCTCTACTGCTTTCCCAGTCTGTTAGCAGGGAGCTGAATGGAAAGTGGAACAGCCAGGTCATGAACCAGTGCCCATATGGTAAGTCAGCACTTGAAGGTGGAGGATTAGCCTGTTAAGCCATCACACTGAGCCAAGCGAGGCTGTGTCTCACTGCGTCTTCTGAATAGACTGTTCCTGTAAAGGTGATCTGGAAGGCAGACGTGACACAACTGCAGTTATCTCTTCACATTCGACAGGTCAGCACTGGGCTCCACGGGCTGATGCAGCCACTTAGAATTGTTGCAGGTCTTGTGCGATGTGCCCTTCCTTCAGCACCCACCTTCGCCCCCCGCAACCCTGGGCTGTTCTGTGTGGCCATGTCAACCCTCTGGGGAAGAGGTAGTAAAAAAAGTCATTGGAAAAGGGTATGGAAGCATCTAGAAGTTACTGTCAATTAAAAGCCAGACATCAACAGGCAGGCTAAACTTTCAAAACGTTTAATATGGATCACTCTGTTAAAGAAAACAATTTTTTTGTTTTATTGTACATGAAAGTCAGAGTTAGAATGGCAGGAAGAGAAAAAGAGAGAGATCTTCCCTCCACTGATTCATTCTCCCAAATGGCTGTAACGATCAGACCTAGGCTGGTTCAATATTGGGAGCCAGGGGCTTCTCCTGGGTCTCCCAAGTGGGTGCAAAGATCGAAGCTCTTGGGCCATCATCTCCTGCTTTCCCAGGTGCGTTAGCAGGGAGCAGGCAGGACTGGGACTATTCTCATATGGGTTACTGGTACCACAGGTGTGGGTTAGCATGCTATGTTACCACACCGCCTCTCTATCTTTTATATACAAACTGACGCAGTGAGGTCAGTTTCTCTGACAGGTACTAGTGCTTGCTATGGGATCACCCCAAGCTGAGCTGGCATACACGGCCCACAGCATGATAAGAATCTGCCAGTACCCTTTCCCCATTCTGTTTTCCATGGCCCTGTATCAGTCCGCTGTCACATAAGGTGCTGCACAACAAACCACCACAAAATTCAATGGCTCCCACCCATGAAATCTTCGTGACCAGGGATTGGTGCACTCAGATGTGATGGGTGCACCCAAGTGGCTCATTGTCCTTGGACCAGTAGGCTCCCTGCTGAGGGATGCGATACAAGAGTGCAAACATCTTGTGTCCACGCACTTCAAATCATTGCCTGCATCATCTAAGCTAAAATGTCATGATCCAAAGCCCATAACACAACTCATCCAAGTAATCCCAGGTGCCTACCTGCCTGCCACATCTACCCAGATCTAGACATGGAGGGTCT